TTTTATCAATGATACTCTGGGCGTCCCCTTGGAAACAAGCATCTTGAAACCCCAAATCTAGACACCAAACCACCGCTTCCCGAAGAGCCAACACCTCAGCCACCAAAGGGTCCTCATTATCAGGAAATTGCACTCCCCGAGCCAGCAAAACATTCCCAGCAAGATCCTTAATCACGATTCCTCCAGCCGAATGGGACCCAGACTTCGTTGCCCCATCCCACATACACGTAAACGAATGCACAAGAGCGGTCGATCCCGTCGTAACTTGAGGAGGACAGGGAATCTGAACCTGGTCTCCCGGGAGCCGCATCCATTCGTGGTATTGTTGATAGAACTGACGCAAAAGCGAAGGAATCCCAAACTGTTTACCCTCAAAGACTACCCAGTTACGCGATTTCCATATTCGCCAAAGGACAGCTACCACCGCCATGAACAGATGAAATTAAAGATATTCGTCAAATTAAAGATCACCAATTACAAGAACTTGAGATATTAGCTCTAGACAACTCAAGACTCTTTGCTTAGTCTCTTTGCCCTAAATTAAACAATAAAATCTAATATATATATATATATATATATATATATATATAATTATTAATTACAAAGGTAATCAATTTTGTATTTGATAATACCGATTGGGATACCGAAATATTTAAGGATTGGGATTGGGATACCGAAATTATTTAGGGATTGAGATTGATTAGGGTATAATTCGACATTTGGGATTTCGGTATTTGGTATTGGGATACCGTACCGATTTCCACCCCTAGGTACAACTATCTATTGACTCAAGTTAGGGTGCATAAATTTTGGTCGTGCATATTTTTATAACTTAATTCAGACATTTTTTTGTGAGTCTAGAAAATTCATATCTCTAATTGGGGAATTAAAGACATTTTATTCTCTCTAGTTTTCATTATTGGTTTTTATCTTCTTCGTTCTAACTCGGATTTCAATTTTTTTTTTTTTGCACAGATTGAACACGTTCGTTGTGCTCTACAAAATGATATCCATTTACAATATTTTTGAGAATTTTTTTTCCATACCTCACGTTACTAACTTCATACCATATGGTATTTCCTTCATTTTTAAGTCGTTTTTGAAATTTTTTGCATAAAAGGAATGAGTTCATCATGCTCTATTGGATCTACAAATTTATGGATGAAAAAAATAAAGGACCAAAAACTACCACATAATACCACCCTGGTATGCACATAATACCACCCTGGTATGCGGGGTGGTATCTTGTGGTACACAATGTTGAAAGTCGTAAATGATAGTTAGTATACTCCTACTATCATGTATTCAACCATCCAACAGTCTTGGTATGTTCATATTACCATGGTACGCTTTCATACCATATGATATGCTCTTATTTTAATATCAATCGATACCACTATGGTATAGACTAGAAAAAAATGTCTATTTTTGTTTGTTCCAAAAATATATCAAAGTTGATATTATTTTGAAGAGCACAATTATCTGTGCAAAAAAATTTAAATTTCGACTTCAAACGAGAGAGAAATCGTCTGTTAAATATTAAAGACTTTCCAGGAGAGAGAGAGGTGCTGATGTGGCAGATTCTGGTTGGATTACGCATGGTTATCTGCTCCCTATTATAACAAAGCAACACTATCAACATCAAATCGTAGATTTGTACAATTTATTTTAACAAGTTACATTACTTTTCAAGAAACAGTTAAGTATATGGAAGTTTGATTCGAGTGTATTTGTACATCTTTTACCTCTTCATATCTTTATTTTTTGGGCTAATTCCACTAGAAAGTCCAAACTATCGTAAAAGTTTCGTTTGTGACCTAAACTATTCTATATGACAAATCTCACGCAAACTATATGCGTTTCGTGGTATTTGTGTTCTAAACTATTCAATATGAAAAATCTGGTACAAACCACATAGATGCTGACTAGATTTTATGTTAAATACTAACGATCAGTGCCGTTCAACATTAACAAAAAAATAGTTCGTGCCAGATTTGTCATATTGAATAGTTTAGGACACAAATGACACTTTTGAATAGTTTGGGCTTTCTAGTGGAATTAACCCTTATTTTTTTGACTTGGTACTCTTTGTTCCTTTACCCATTTTAGGCTAGGTTGTGCTTCTTTTGTCATAAACAAGGTCCTAGTACGTGTGGAAAGCTCGATGACGAGTTTTAGGATATTTGAAGGTCAAAACGAGCCAAAAAGTGAAGGATGTGCAAGGTTCATGGGTTGCGTGCAATGTTCATAGTTTGGGGGGGGGGGGTGAAAATCAGCCCAAAACCGTGAAACAAACACATTTCCAGTAGCACATCTCCTTCTCGCGGGCATGGTTACACGCCCTTGAGGCGGAAAATAACAACAAAACCATGAAGTATGCACAAAACGTTACGTTTAAGCTGAGATCATGTTTTACACTATTCACGACCATGAAGTTGGGTTTTTTAGCCCAAAACATACAAGGGGTGATTCTAGAGAGAGAAAGACCTATGAGGGTTGTTGGAGCTATTTTGGAGGTGCAAATCACCATTGAAGCTTGAAGAACATCCCCTAGAAGATGAAGATTGAAGATTCTAAGCTCATACTGCATTCTCTCTCTTCTTCTCTATGAATTAGCTTTCTTTCACTTTGGTAGATGAACCCTAGTTATTCATTTTGGTTTGAATGTTGATGTATGTGACAAATCCTATGATGTTTATGATGAATTGCATTAGTCTTGATCCCACTGCATGTCAATTGAGCTTTTAACGTAGGAGAGAGAATATATCTCCAAGTTGAATAGAGCACCTTCAATCATTCACTATGGATCTTTGAAAGAGTGTGATAGGATCCATAGTAATGTATTGGGCTTGTCCAATCATGGGAGTTGGTTGTGAACACCTCAATTGCCTAGATCGGTTGTGTGGTACACCCCAGTGAGGAGTGCAATTGAGCGGCGTTGGATGCACTCCAATGGGGAGTCCAATCTAGTCTAGAATTCTCCATGGTGGAAGTTATTTTTGGGGGAAAAAAATCTTAAATAGATATGAGTATAACCTAGAATGAGGTAGGAAGAATGACATATTTCAAGTGTAATAAAGGCACATGAAACTTTGACCAAAGAAGTTTACCCCATAAAAGAGGATGGTGGTGAATTCTTATAGACCCCCACACCACCTTAACATAATACTTGTCTAGCGGGTTCCTTCCCACCTTACTGATTTGGTCCTTCACCATATATGTGGAATTGAATCCATGGTCAATCCTCAATAATTGACCCCAAGTCTAGGAGTCGCTTGGGTAGTCTTCAAATTGTAGAACCTTCTTCCTTTGAGTTTGTAACGATAAGTCTAAGCTGCCGAGAAGTAGAGATGGTATATAGGAAAGTGGCCCCCCACCTGAACCCATTGTTATCCCTATCTAGAAGGAGCATTCATCCAACACATAAGAAGCAATTACAACAAGAGATGGACAAGCAACATTCCACACTAGTAGATCTTTCAGTCCAATTCCACGCTCCAGCTTGGAAAGAATAACTAGAAACCAAGAGATCTTAACACGGCCAAATTACGTCATGTTACACAAAATCCAATCATACCTTCTGAACCTAAGAAATTATCTTCTTTGGTAGAAAAAAGGTTAATCCAATATTAAAGTATCGGATAAAACATATAGGAAATCAACTCAATCCATCCAACATATGAGACTATAAAATGTTGAAAAAAGGAAATAAAACATGTCAGCTTCTCGTTTCTTCCTTGCACCATGATTTGAGGGGTAAGCTGGAACAGTGGGCTCACACCCACTTTACCCACCCTTGGAACAATTCAAAAAATAATCAATGAGATGTAAATTGCTCGAAAATGCCACTCACACCCCAAAATAAGCACCCCTCCATTTTCATCTCTTCCCCAATAGAGGGTAAACGTTTAGCTACATCTCAAGATAATCCAAGGTACTTGAGTGACAAAATCCTCTCCTGAAACTTAGAAATGTGTTAAGCTAAATCGTGAGCTTTTCTTAACGTTTCCAAAAATAGTAAACACTTTTCGAATGTTGTCTACATTTTAAATGTCATAATAATTAATTATATCAAAAGGATACTTTTTGAAGTAAAAATCAAAATAATAATTAAATGTCATAATGACACATCAAAAGTGGTGTGAAATAAATGTCATAATACCTATAACTGATTTTTTTTAAATTTAAATGTCATTATAATAAATGATTATTAATATAATGTGTTTTAATTTTAAATATTGTAATAATAAATTATTATCCAAATATTATTGTGCAAAAAGTAAATGTCATAATAACTTCACAAAAGTTTTATAATAATAAATTATTGGTAAAGGTTATTAATTATTATTAAAATGAAATGTCTTAATAGTACATGATTATAAAAGTTTATTGTTTAAAATGGAATAGTGATGATAAAAAGTTAAAATTTTATAATGATGATAATAATAATAATTAATTAATTACCAAAGTTATGCAACAAAAAGTACAAAATCATTTTATTTTTAATCGGAAAAGTAAATCAAGGCAAAAACATAGTGTTAGTCGGCGCTCTCTCTCCCCAATATCAGACCCCTGCCTTGCTCTCTCTATTACGTGCAAAGCTGTCAAGTAGGCCATTACTTACAAGATCCCGGACCCACCCCATCCGCAATTCACACCCTCTACTCTATTTTCTTAACTCACCACTCAACTTTATTTTCCTCTCCATTAATCCCAATCTCTCTTTCTTCTTCCCCCTAAGTCTCAGACGCGATTCATCGAACACTTAGACCGCGTCCCTAATTCTTCATTCCTCCTCCAACACCACACCGTTGGCACCCTGGGGTCACTCTAGCTGAGAACCCTTTGTTGGGAACTTAGGTTTCTCTTATCTTACCTACCACCCAAATACACAAGCGAGACAACTCTGATTCAGCAATTTGACATTTGTGGATTTCCTTCTGCATTAGATAACAACAAACGGTTATCCCAACGGATTCCTCCAATCTCACTTACATATTATGGCCAAATTTTCTACCTCGTCCAGAAACAAGCCATCTAATATGACCAACGATGGCTGTCTGTACATGGGCGGTGCTGTATTCGCTTTCTTACTCGTCTGGTGTGGTTGGTCCTACGCCAACCCGATCGTCTTTGGCGGCAACAATTTCATGCTTAGGATTGTCAGCGACATGAGGTCGGAATGCTGCACACACCCGACTCCGAACCTTAGATTCGACCCGCCCGACTCAACGTTCTACGACGACTCGGAGCTCCGGTACTCGATCGATAAGAAGGTAACAGGGTGGGACGATAAGCGAAAAGAGTGGCTAAAGCGCCACCCGACATTCACCGCTGGGTCTAAGGATATGATCGTGATGGTGACCGGTTCCCAGCCAAACCCGTGCCAGAACCCAATCGGCGACCACCTCTTGCTCCGGGCATTCAAGAATAAGGTGGATTATTGTCGTATCCATGGCTACGACGTCTTCTACAACAACGTCCTCCTCCACCCGCGGATGAAGAGCTATTGGGCAAAGCTTCCCGTGGTGAAGGCGGCGATGCTGGCTCACCCGGAGGCCGAGTGGATCTGGTGGGTTGACTCAGATGCGGTTATCACCGACATGGAATACAAGCTCCCGCTGGACCGTTACAATTACAAGGGTCATAACCTAGTGGTCCATGGGTGGCCCAAGTTAATCTACGAGGAGAAATCTTGGACGTCGTTAAACGCAAGCGTTTTCCTCATCAGGAACTGCCAGTGGTCTATGGACTTCATCGATGCTTGGGCCAACATGGGCACGATCAGCCCGGACTACAAAAAATGGGGGGAGATCCAACGGTCGGTGTTCAAGGACAAGCTATTCCCGGAGTCGAATGATCAAACGGCCCTGATTTACTTGATCTACAAGGACAGGAGATTGACGGACAAGATTTATCTGGAAGGGGAGTATTACTTCAAAGGTTACTGGGTAGAGATCGTGCCAACGTACTACAACATAACGAAGAAGTATGTCGGGATCGAGCGGGAGGACAATTTGTTGCGACGGCGACACGCAGAGAAGGTGAGTGAGCAGTACGCAGCGTTTAGGGAGCCGCACTTGAAGGAGGCCGGGAACGGGCGATGGTGCTGGCGGCGACCGTTCATAACGCATTTCACGGGGTGTCAGCCGTGCAGTGGGAACCACAACCAGATCTACGCCGAGGAGAGTTGCTGGAATGGGATGCTGAAGGCCCTGAACTTTGCAGACAATCAGGTGTTGCGGAAGTATGGGTTCGTGCACCCGGATCTACTGGATTCTAAGACGGTGACGGATAGTCTGTTTGATTACCCCGACGAAGGACCCTGGTGATTAAAAGAAGGAAAAGAAAAGTATAGAGTTAGAGTGCAGGAACGAAAAGTTAAGGTTGTTGGATAGTAATTATATGCTTAGGGGGTTTCAGGCAATAATAAAAGAATATAAAATTTTCTGTTGTTTGTTTTTGTCTTCCTTTTTTAGAAGAAGTGGCTAAAAGCTAGGGATAGTGGTAGGGATGGCAATTTCAACCTGACCCGTTTTACCCGACCTATTTGGACTATTTTTGGGGCATGTAGTCAAGGTCTTCCTTTTAGCGATCCAAGAGACCTCAAGCTCTCGTTTGTAGCCAACATGTGTGGCAACCCAATGTGGAGTGCAGGCTGGGAAGTGGTGCTAAGGCTAAGACGAATCCGCCCATCAACTTCCCCACATGTGACCTTGATAGGAAAGGCAATGATCCATCCGCTCTTGGTCCTGAGGGAGAGATGCTTGTTTGCAAGAAAGTTTGCAAAAGATTAGTGCAATGCACGAAAAATTTGAAAAAGGAGACCCATAAATGACAACTCCTATATTGAAAGAAAGATAAAAGCACCCAAAAGAGTTCTTGTGCTTAATTGTTGTTGAGAAGTCCCCCATTACACACCTTGAATGTTCATCCCGAGGTAGTAGGTATGGTCCTCATCAGAGAGTTTCTGTTTACACACTAAGATGATAGTAACGTTTACTCGTCTTCGTCTACTCTTCTTTATGAAATGAAGAACTAGAGTGCACTCCCCGTTGATTTGTCTATCAAGTTGTATTGGTTTAAGTAGGTTTGCTTGGGGACAAGCAAACTCTTAAGTGTGTGGGAGTTTGATAACACCTAAAATAGGCATTATTTAGCCTTTATTCGTAAGGCATTTGCATGTTAAATCACCGTGTCTAGGCCACTTATCAACTTATTTATGCCCATATTCGTTCCTATTTGCAAAACATGCATTTTGGCATAGGCGGGCGGCATCGTGCGGGGAGACGATGGTCGTTTTATCCGAGCTTATTCAACAAACCTTGGGGGGGTTCGATTACACGTGCAGAGCTGGCTGGGTTTGTGCATGGTCAAACGTACTTGATGGTGATGAGACTACCGAGCCATCTGTGTTCAGAGTCACCCACCCCTGCTGTGGGAGTTGCCACCGGATGGGCCTTTGTTCGCGCACTCTGCTTGTGCCAAAGATGTCCCTTTTCCTTCGCCCTACGGGCTCATAATAAACCTTCTGGAAGGCTAGCGTCGTTTGATGCCGTAGCTGCTTGGGTATTCATAATATGAAGGTTTTCATAGGGGAACCGACCCTAATATTTCGTATTTTATGATTTCCCAAGTGTTTGTGATGAAATTTAAGGCGTTATATGAATTCGGGATTGATCGGGAATCGATTGGGGTTCATCCGAGCATGATTGAGAAGCATAGGAGCAAGAAGGGGAGAAGAGTCACTGGTCATGGTCACACGTCACGACCGTGACCATGTTAGCGGCCTGAAGATCGCAGCTGTGAACAGTAGCCATGAACTTCAGCAGGCGACCAAGAAGAACGCAGAAAGTTTCCCCAGTCGAATCGCGAACATGGTGCATTTTGACCGTGAAAAAGATTGTGCACGGGACACAAAGATAACGACCACAATCTTATGTAGGAGGCCGCAATCTCGGAGCTTAAAGACGGAGTCAAAATGCTTCGTTTTGGGCGATTCAGAGACTTTCTAGCTGGTCACGGCCAGGTCACGGCCGGGACCATCGGTCTCACGCCCCTAGAGGCCTTGACCTCCATCTGTTTTCTATAAATACTCCTCTTGCTGCACTTTTCAAAGGAAAGCCGACCTAGAGTGAGAAAGTTAGGACACAAATGAGTCTCCAGCTATATACTAAGGGTTCTTCAAGAGATCACTTCTATTATTTTTTAAAGTATTGGTGTTTTGAGTACAAATTAAAGTTGTATCATAACGTTAAATATACAATTTTAAGTAGTACCATAAAAGAATTTGTACTTTTATGTTATGGTACAACTTCAAGTTGTACCATCAAGTAAATATACAACTTCAAGTTGTACCATAAATAAATATGTACAGAAGAGTATAGGTACAACTTGAAGTTGTACTATAAGATTAAAGATACAAATTCATGTTGTACTATAGGAAAAAAAATCTAAGATGAGTTAATTATTATTATGTGGTATTTGTAGAGTCAAATAACTCATTAATTGTTCATGTGGTATTTCAATGTTATTTTAATGGTAATTGGATTAAAGTATCTCGTTTGATTGAACCATACACATGTGGTATTTGGCATGTGATATTTGGATAAAAACAGAGAGACAAAACGAGTTATTTCGAAATAACTATGTGGTAGGAGTTATTTCAAATAATTCATTTGAGTAACTCACTCAAATAACGAGTTATTTGGACCCATATAACTCACTCAAATACCTCATCCAAACAACCCATAAAGCACGGTAAAATTTCTCTCTTCAAGATTCCTTCACCATCAGCTAATGCCACAAAGTCAACTACGTATAAAAGAAAGTCAAGGGCTATCAATCAGCTCAAGTTGACTTCTAATGTTTGTCTTATATAATAATAATGTCTATGAATATTTTAATCTGATGAAGAAAAATTAGTTTGCCATGATAGTTATTTATTTGACTTTCTCATTCAGCGAAAACGAGACTAGTCCACGATAGAAGTATGAATCATATTATTTGGCTTCTTTGTCTCTCAATATATTCATATATATAGCTCTTAAGATGCCTTAATTATCCTACGCAATTTACAATTGGTCTGAACTATATCACATAACTCAACAACCTCCCCGATATTGACGGATGAATCTATAATATATGAAGAACACCAACTAAGTTTCAAACGTAAGAGACGTGTACCTGAAAATGATTGACATGATCATGAAGAACCGGATTTGTCACGGATGGCACTGGTATTATCAACATAGAGTTGCATATGAACCTTACACCAAGATCCCCCAACAAATGTTGTAACCAATCAAGTTCAAATGTAACATCAGACATGGCTGAATATTCGGCTTCGAGGGAGGATTTAGAAACACAGTCCTACTTCTTGCACAGCCAAGAAAAAATGATCATACTAGACGAATACATCAACTACTAGTTGAACGACGAGTATGGCTACATCCTGCGGATACATCCTGCATAATCAGAATCGGAAAAAATAATGCCGAGTCAAGGAACCTATCGAGGTAAGAACAAGTCAATCGTATAAGTTTCCTGTAAATACTGTAGAATCTGATGATCAACATCAAGATGAATCATTGGAGGAGCTGGCATAAATTGGCTCACAACTTGTACTACATAAGCAATAGTAGGACGCGTTGAGACCAAATATATCAAACTTCCAAGCAGATTCAAAAAAGTTATCAATATACTTCGTATGACTAAGAAAAATACCATGAGAAGACCGAATTATCTCCAAGCACTAGAAACAAGGGAGAAAACTGTGCCTCGTAAGACTGAACGATGCATGTAATTCTCGAGTAAGTAGTCCACTAAAATTGACAGTCCTGATAATGCCAAGTGAAACAATGATAGGAAAGCAGTATTATGGATGCAAATTTTACTTATCGAATCCACAGGTCTCTAGATGTACTATTACTCAGATTCAATCTATAATTGAGCAAGTTCGCATTAAAAATGATTAATTTAAACTAATAGAACAAACAAGGAACAATTAAGTTGACTACGATTTCATATGAGAAAGACAACTCAGGTAATGATTCCCCCTAGCCACTAGCCGGACTGATGATTAATGGTTCTTTAACCCATTTCACTCATTGTTTATAATGTAGAGAGCTCACAACAAGCTTTGAATCTCGATTAAGGAGTAAGACCCTCTTAAATTGATTTCTTAGAGAGACACTATCATCAGTTAAGACAGCCGACCAAGGAATTCAAACTAGGTAGAACCACTTCATGACAACATATATCATCTTGTAATCTTCATTTCCTTCCTCATGCTTCTTCCTTGAGCTCCAATAGTGAAAGAATCACCAAATTTCGTCGTAAGAAGTCTCCAAAGTCACACACATTCTCTAGGGATAATCTCTATCTCTTGTTTTATGTAAAAAAACATCTCTCTCTTGAAAAATATCATACTCCTTTTATACCTAACAGTGACAAAATCACGGTCGAGAATCATGGTCGTCGGCGTTGGGGTTGCAGCAAGGAGCGGATGTCAGTGAATAGGAAGATAACTTTTTTGTTTTATTTATTTTTCAATTTATTGTGATAATGAGGGGAAATTTTTATTTTTTTTAAGTTGCCACATCACTTATTTAATAGTCAACTCTCATAGTTAACTATCACATCAGATAAAATTAACGGAGACTAATGGAGAGTAACCAAACTTGAACTGTTGAACTAATCTTAGTGACCAATGATGAAATAAAATAATTTTAATGGAAAACGTGAAATTTTTAAGTAATCGATGTGATCAAAGTTGTAATTTACCCGGAGATTGAATTGACAAAAAAGTAGAGGTGATAGACCTCTTACACACTCCAAGCTTGTGACCACGAACATGGACTACAAAGTTCACCTATCATCTAGCAATGTAGATCACTTTTCAGAACCAGAGAAATACATAAGATTGGTACTCAAACTTATCTACGTCACTATACATTAGTTTTAGCACCCAATATGTCAGCCAATACATGTATAATTGTAGCCACGCTCAGTAAAATATTTTCATTCAAATTCTCATATATGTCAAGAGTCTAGGATGCACTTTCAAATGGTCTCCTCTTAACCTCGCCTTCTCCACTTCAGCCGAAGGCCTTCAGCGACTCAGATTGGCGTCCTACGTTGATAGAAGGAGGTCAATCACCTACTACCGTGTTTACTTTGGTTTTCTAGAGTTTTATGGAAGAGAAAGAAATAAATCACCGTCTCCAGATCCTCTTGTGAAGTAGAATACAATGCCTTTTCTTGCACGACTTGTGAAGTATAGTATCTCGTCTACCTTTCCACCTCACCCATCCTCAACCAGCAATACTTTACTATGACAACCAATATGTCATTTACATTGTAGAGAATCCAACATTTTCACGAGCAGATCTAACACATCGAGCTCACAGACATCTTCACCAAACCCCTGCCTCGGACGACCTTCAGCCATCCGCCCTTCAAGCTTGGTATGCTCAATTTGTGCTCACCAGCTTGTCGGGAGGGGGTATAAGTAAAGATAGTAGATATTTGAAGAAGATGATTGTGGTCCCAACGTTATAAGCAACCGAAGCTAGAGTGACGCCCTTTCTACCAAAAGGCAAAGGTAGTAGTTTTTCACGCCCAATCCAACTTGACCCACGCCGTTGAAGAAGATGATAGTTGGTCCCAACATTATAAGCAACCGAAACTAGAGTGATGTAGTTTCTACCAAAATGCCAAATAGTACCTCCAATGATTTTGATTTGCACAATTTTTTCTTCCTCGGCTCGTACTCGCTGCACCTCCAAGTTTGTCTTCTATAAAATTGTAAATATGCTCTTACAACCACAAACTTCAACTATATAAGCTGAGAGATGCAATGAAGTCAACCTAATTTCCTAAAGTCTACTCAACTACCTCCCCCTTGCTAATATGTCCCAACTCCCATGGAAACCTATTAAGTTTAAATAAGCAAAAGTCAACTTTCTCTGTTCTTTTTTTTTTCTTCCTAATTGATTGATGTAGGATATTGTTGTTATATATGGTAGGTTGCTGGAGCTTGAATTAATGATATCAACTTAAGAAACTCAGGTCAAGAAAAATAAAACCAATCAACTCTCTTTTGGTTTTGTTCTGGTCATACAAAGCCTTACAATAGAAAACATAATACCCCCTCGATCAAAGCAGCCTCCCTCGTCGTGTGTGCTTCTGCGGTTTAAACTACAATACCTAAAAGGAGCACATGAAATGCCATGTACATTAAACTATACAGATAGTAAAACGTCTACTATACCCGTCGTCTTGATGGCGATGCAAAATTGACCGCTTGTACCCATTTCACCATTTGTTTAGTCCTGATCTTAAATATATAAACCAACCCATAACCGGCTAAGCAGAAAGCCTAAAACTCATTCCACCCAATTCTCATCTTCGTCCCCGCCAAACTGCAAATCGCCAATCCGCCAAAGAAATCCCATTCACAAAAGAACACCAGCAAAACCCGCAAACCCACCCACCTAAAGGAAAAGCCGATTCCTTGACTGGTTTCGAATTTGGGTTTCTCCGCTTCCTCTCTTGTTCATTTCCTGCCGTCTTACAAGAAGAGTTGGCCGAATTCAATCCGGTTTCGTCGGCAGTAAAAGGCATCGGATACATCTTTCATTGTTCCTGCAGGATCCCACAAAACCGGCTGCCTTTGCTATTAAGGCCGCTTACCTTCAATTCAACTCTTGAAGGGGAAATGGGGAAGGCGGCGAAGCAGAGCAGAGTGAAGAAGGTGCTGAAATTCCCGGTGAGGTTGCTTGTGAAAGCTAGGGACTTTTACGTGAACGGGATGTCCCAATTGGCCGACCAGATGCGGTACGACGCCGTTGCCACCGTCGGCTGTCCAGCCCACATCGGCTCGGCCGCGCTACCCAGGAGTTTCAGCGCCGGCGGTGGATCGGCGAATTCGAGGTCCGATTACAGCGAGCTAATCAGGGCGGCTTCCGTAAGGGATCATTTGGGGAGCAAGAGTGTTTCTCAGAAACAGGGTCCGGCGGCAGCCGGTAAGGATTTTTCAGGAAAGGGCAAAGTCAGGGGAGGAGCAGGGAAGGTGCCCAGAAGCTATAGCGTTGGTCTTGGAAGGATTGAAGAGGAGAAGTCCGGCGAATTGGGGGAAGATTATACTTCGATTGGTAGTGGCGCTTTTCACAGAAGCAGAAGTTGCGCCGTTTCCGCCGCCGGCGGTGTACTCGCCGGGATCAGGACGGGTAAATTCCAGAAGCCAGTGGCAATTGCAACAGCTCTAGCCTAGCTGCTTAGGTCTGTTTATCAACAGTTAGCATAATTGTACTCTGGGTTTGCTCTGTTCTTCCCCTGCGTCTCGGCTCTGTGAAATTCTTTCAATCCCGAATCTCTGATACATCAAGGAAAATACCCTTTTTCCCATCTCTTTTTAACAGGAAATGAATCCCTAAAAATCAATGCCAACGGTCAAAAGATTTCTAAGGTTGAAGACACTCTCCAATCCGGCTGCGTTTCAGGTGGCTAGCCAACATCACCAATGCAGTGTCGTTTTGCTTTACTTCTTCCTCTCTGTTTCTTTTGTTTCAAGCTTGTTATTGTTTCCTCTCCAAGCTAATGGACAAACTGTACTAGGTTGGCTGTCTTTTTCTGTAATCCGACTGCCTATAAAATGGCTGAACAAATCAATGAGAAAGATTAAGCATTAGGGTTTTACCCACTTCTCTCAATTGTTTTCATGGTATCAGAGCCCTAGGGCGCCGCCATGGCCACAAACGATACCCAACAAGATGCTTCTGCATCTGGTGAAAACTTAAACACTCCTTACCCAATGGAAGATCCATACTTCCTTCATGGTTCCGAGCAACCTGGTTCCCTCTTGGTCAGTGAGAAGCTCACACCAACAAACTACAATGACTGGAGCCGCGCCATGTTCAACGCCCTTGCTGCCAAGAACAAGCTGGGTTTCCTCAATGGCGCCATTCCTGAACCTACAGAAACAGATCCGAAGAGAAATGCCTGGGTCAGAAACAACGTCATGATCTTAAGCTGGATACAACAAGCTGTTGAATCTGAGATACGCAAGACCATTCTTTCCAGCAAAATCTGCAGCTGAAGCATGGAAGAGTTTACAAACAAGGTATGGATCTGGTGACATTGTTCGAGTTGCTGAAATAGAAGAAGAACTCTGTAGTTTAAAACAGGGTACACAAACTGTTACTGAATACTATGGCAAGGTTATTACTCTTCGTGATGAACTAGACAATTACCAGCCTCTGATTCCTTGTGCTTGTACTACCACAAGTCACAACACATGTCAAGCCATGAAGCTAGTTCATGAGTATCAAGAAACAAGCTATGTTATTAAGTTTTTAAGAGGTTTGAATGACAATTTCTCTGCTGTTCGATCCCAAGTTCTGTTTGGGGACGAGTCACCCAACATCAACAGGGTTTTCCAACGTATGTTACAGCATGAGAGGCAGTTATATGGTACTCAACGAGGCAAACTCATTGCTTCTGTCACTGCTGATACCTCTGCTCTAGCCATTCAAGGCATCAACAGAAGACCTAATTCTGCTCTCAAACGCCCTTATTGTGTTTACTGCAAAAGAGAGGGGCACACAGAGGACGTTTGTTTTATCAAACATGGTTTTCCACCAGGAATGTCTACTCGATCCACACCTATGTCTACATCATCCAATGTGATTGAATGCACTTTCTGTGGTAAACATGGACACCCTGAGGACAAATGTTTTAAGAAACATGGATTTCCAGCCAACTATGTTCCCAGGACTACCACCTCTTCATATGGACGAGGCAGAGGCTATGCTCATTCTGCAGTCACATCCCCTGATGATTCTGTTAAGCTTTCAAAAGCTGATTATGACAAACTAATGGCTCTAGTTGGGAACTCTAAGCAGCACTCTTCTCACACAGCTGCTGCCTTCACAACTACTACCACCCCATCAGGTACATGTTTCTTATCAGCACCAAACCACATTAATCCAAATCACAATTTCACATGGATCTTAGACACTGGTGCCTCTGATCATATTGTTTCTTGCCTTGATTACCTCATCCATCCTATCCCTATATCTGGTGTGTTCATAACCTTGCCTACTGGTCAACAAATCCCTGCCACTTACAAAGGCACAATTCAATGCACTCCTGAGTTAACTCTTCAGGATGCTCTCTTTGTTCCTGGTTTCAGTTTCAATTTAGTCTCAGTAAGCAAACTCACTGCTCAAAATTCACTCAGTTTAACATTTCACTCCAACCTTTGTGTCATACAGGACCTGGAGCAGAAGAGAGTGACTGGTTCTGCTAGATTGACCAATGGCCTTTACTACCTAGAAGCCCCTAGTCATCCTAAGATCATCTCTGTTGCAAGATCAAACATTTTTGATTTATGGCATTTTAGATTAGGACACCTGTCTCACTCTAAAATTCCTTATCTCAATCATTTTTGTAGCTCTATTGAAACTCAAAAGGGCTTACCCTGTGATGTCTGTCACTTTGCAAAGCAAAGGAGACTGCCTTTTCCATTGAGTCAGAATGTAACCCTACATCCTTTTGAACTCTTACATGTTGATATTTGGGGGCCTAATCCAGTCCCTTCCTATGATTCCTACAAGTATTTTCTTACAATTGTTGATGATTTTTCAAGAATGACATGGGTCATTCTGCTTCAACTCAAATCAGAAGCTAGACCAAAATTGATTGCCTTTTGCAACCAAATGCAAAGGCAATTCCAAACAACAATTAAAAGAATTCGCAGTGATCAAGGAAAGGAATTTGAAATGACTGATTACTATGATTCACAGGGCATTCTCCATGAAATGTCCTGTGTTGAGACCCCTCAACAAAACAGTAGAGTGGAAAGAAAACATCAGCATATTCTTGCTGTGGCCAGAGCCCTCAAATTCCAGGCTAACCTGCCACCTGGTTTCTGGAGTGACTGCATAAAACATGCAGTTTTTCTTATCAATCGTGTTCCTTCTTCTGTTCTTCACAACAAAACTCCCTATGAAAAGCTATACAACCTCCCCCCTGATCTTACTGACTTAAAGGTTTTTGGTTGTTTGTGTTATGCCTCTACCTTAGCTAATCACAGAACCAAATTTCAACCACGAGCAAGAAAGGGTGTGTTTTTGGGTTACAAACCTGGTATAAAGGGTTACAAAATTTATGATCTTGATTCTCATGATGTCTTTGTCTCACGGGATGTCATCTTTTATGAATCCCATTTCCCATTTCATTCTTCTGAATCCCAGCCAACCACAAACCCTGATTCTGATCTCCTGTTCCCTCTTCCTGAACCCACCAGTTCCCTCCTTCATGATCCTCCTCCCTCTCACCCTATACCATTGCCTCTGTCTCCTCCACCAACTACACCATCTCCATCCAACAGTGCCTCTCCTACTTCCTCCTCTACCTCCCAAACCACACCCTCCACTAGCTCTACTCCTTCAGATCCTCCTTCACCCCCTCAAGCTCCTCCTCCTATTCAGCCTAGAAAATCAGCTAGACCATCCAAACCTCCCACTCATTTAACCAAAGATTACCACTGTTACCTTGCCTCTCAATCTAGTGGGACAGGTCACTCACTTCAGCAACAGGTCCAAGACTCAAGGTATGGCCTCTCTTCCATGGTCTCTTATGACAATCTCTCACCATTTTACAAGACATTTGTAATGAACTTATCTTCCTATGTTGAGCCAACTACCTATACAGAGGCATCTAAATCAGATGAGTGGAATGACTCCATGAAATCAGAGCTCTCATTCAAAATCAGACATGGGATGTTGTTGAACTGCCTCCAGGCAAGAAGCCTATTGGTAATAAGTGGGTGTACAGAATCAAAATTCATCAGGATGGCACTATTGAAAGATTCAAATCAAGGGTTGTTGCCAAAGGATATACACAGCAAGAAGGAGTTGATTATCAGGACACGTTTGCCCCAGTTGTTAAAATGACTACTATCAGAACTTTTCTAGCTGTTGCTGCTTTAAGGAATTGGCATATTCACCAGTTGGATGTGAATAATGCCTTCCTTCATGGTGATCTACAAGAGGAGGTGTACATGACTCTCCCTAAGGGATATACTCCACCTCCTGGTTTCCAAAATCCAGTTTGTCGACTAAAGAAGTCAATCTATGGACTTAAGCAAGCCTCACGGCAATGGTTTTCTAAACTCACTGATAAACTTCAGCATGTTGGTTATTCTCAGAGCAAAGCAGACCACTCTTTATTTTACAAACTCACTGATTCAAGTTATACCTGCATCCTCATCTATGTGGATGATCTATTGGTGGGAGGCAATGATTTAGTCGCCATTCAGCAACTCAAAGACTTCCTTCATTCTGAATTCAGTATTAAAGACCTAGGTGTTCTCCGGTTTTTTCTTGGTATGGAAGTAGCACGAAACAATTCAGGCATTCATCTTTCTCAACGAAAATATGCTCTTGAGATTATTGAAGAGGCTAATTTATTGGACTCAAGACCAGTTACAACTCCTATGGACTACAAAACTCATCTCACCAGCACCTGTGACCAGCCTTTTGAAGATCCAGAATTCTATCGAACCTTGGTGGGCAAACTCATCTATCTAACAACAACCCGCCCTGATATCAGCTTTGCCACACAGCAAGTGAGTCAGTTCATGGGCAATCCGAGTATTCAACATTTCAAAGGATCCTAAGATATCTCAAATGTGCCCCAGCTACGGGCATCTTCTTCTCATCTAAAGGTCAATTTCAACTTAAAGCTTTCTCAGATTCTGATTGGGCTGCTTGCGTTGACACACGCAGATCAATCACAGGATATTGTGTTTACCTGGGTGAGTCCCTCATCTCCTGGAAGAGCAAAAAGCAGCAAACTGTCTCCCGTTCTTCTTGCGAAGCCGAGTACCGAGCTCTGGCATTCTCTGCTTGTGAACTTCAATGGATACTTTATCTGCTTCGAGACTTCCAAGTCCTGCATCCACAACCAGCTCATCTTTACTGTGACAATCAAAGCGCGATTTACATAGCTGACAATCCAACCTTCCATGAACGCACCAAGCACATCGAGCTCGATTGTCACTTGGTGCGCGACAAGCTCCAGTCGAAGATTCTCAAGCTATTCCATGTCTCCTCCACTCACCAATTAGCTGATCTCTTCACTAAGCCTTTATCACCAGGACCGTTCCTTCAATTACTGTCCAAGCTCGGTGTCCAGAACCTCTGCCCACCGGCTTGCGGGGGGGTAACAGGAAATGAATCCCTAAAAATCAATGCCAACGGTCAAAAG